TCCCTGATGTGCCAGTGGTTCATTTTAAGCCGGGTTTAACTCCCTGATGTGCCAGTGGTTCATTTTAAGCCGGGTTTAACTCCCTGATGTGCCAGTGGTTCATTTTAAGCCGGGTTTAGCTGCCGGGCACTCTGGGCTGGGCTGGGATGTGGATTTGGAGGAGCAGGGCTGGGAGCAGCTCCAGGCCCAAACTGGGGGCTCCTTTCTGCCCAGAACTTCATTTTTTTGCAGACTGGGAAGGCAAAAATCAGCATTTGAGGGTAAATGTGGGCCGGGCTTTCAGGGGGCTCTGCTGAGTCCCCGAGTGCCGGAGCACCCTGGGCTGGAGGGATCCACGAGGATCCAGGGCAGGATCTGCCAGGGGATGTGCCCCAGGAATGCAGGAAAGTCCCCCCTGCTCCTTGGTTTTGGGGGTTGCCATCCCTGAATCCTGTCCTGAATTCCCCCAGATCCCACCCAGCTCATCCATCAGTGAGAATTCCCAGTTTTCCTTTGTTAGGGCTGATGGGATCTCTGGAATGTTATAAATCAGGAGGGACTGTTTATCTTATTCCCCAGGCACCACTCATGACTAATTAAATCCCATAATTGACTGGAGCAAGACCATGAGAGCAGCAGGAACACCATTCCCAGACAATGGAAGAGCATTTCCCACTGGATTAACATCCTGAGGGCTGAGCAGGAGTAAAAAAATTCTATTCTGTTACTATTTGCTCTCCAACATAAAGATTCCATATTTAAATGTGATGTTTAATTTTTCTGGATGAATTCTGGTTGGTTTTCCTGAAGCACCGGAGCCAATGGATACACTCAAATTTTCCAGGGATTTTTCTCTCAACAGCACCAAAACCCTTAAATATTTTAGGAATGAACCTTGAACATTCCCCTCCAGATAATCCCTCACATTGCCTCGCAAATCCTTGGAGTTCCAGCTCCTGTAATCCCCCTGCTCCTGGAGGAAAAGGCTGGAAAGGGCACTTGGAACAGCTCAAGGCATGTCCATGGGAGGCAGGATGGGATTTGGGAGTTTTCCCGTTCATTCCTCCTCAGGCTGAGGGATGCAAAGCCTGGATTTGATTTAAAATCTGTGGCAGCCAGGATTGGGTTTTAAGGGAGCAAGGGCAGCTCCCCCTGGAAAGAAAAACGGATTTTCCAAGAGTTCCACACATCTTGCACAGCACAAGGACACTCAAAATAAACATTTGGGATTGACTCAGATCCATAATTCACTGCAAGAGCTCCTGGTTCTTGCTCTGGGAAGCCTCTGGAATGGAAAAAAAACAACACTGGGAAGCTTTAAATGGAGCAAAATCCACAATAAACTGTTAAGAGAATGAACAGACACAAGGGGTGTCTTTTTTAGGGCTATTAATTAGGGCTAATAAAGGGGGGGAATGACAGCATCCAGTCTGAGGAGGAATTAATGGGAATCTGCATCATTCCTGCTGCTTTTCCCCGGAAAGATGTGCTTTGCATCCCACAGCCCTGCCTGGGATTGGGAGGGGGGTTTGTGCCTTAAATGTTTGGGGTTTAGCACAGAGGCATCGAAAATCCTGAATTATTTCAAAAAATGTGGAATTTATGGTTGGACCAATAAATATTTCACAGCCTGGACCAGGAGCAGTGGCCAGGGAAATAAATTAGCCATGGAATTAGAAGAATAATTAAGAAATATTTACTTACAATTATATCCACTCCCTTTTTTTTAAATGCTGTGATTAATTAAATTCCCAGATTTCCTCGTAGCCTCTGAGTATATTACACATGGAAATTAATTTTCTCCAACAGCTCATTAAGGGCCCCAAACGCTGCAGATCCCACTCGAATCAATTATTCCTTATTTTGCATTGGAAATCTTTCCCTGCACATCCTCAGGCCCAGCTCCCACATGGAGCAAACCAAAGGATTCCAGGGAATTTACAGCAAAGTTCTTTTTGGGACATTGGGTTTTATTAATTAACCAGGTAGGACTGAGGGGGAATTTCCCAGCACCAAAATGAAGTTCCCAGGATGCATCCAAAGCCATCTCCAGGTGTTTTCAGGGATAAATCCAGTGTTTTCCAAGTGTTTCCATGTGGTTTTGTTTTAAAATGATTTAATCATTTGGAATTCTCCAAATGGTATAATTTTAAAATAATTTGGTGATTTTAAATAATTAAAATAATAATTAATAAGAATGTTATTCCAATGCACAAGTGATTTATCTGGTGCAGGAAGTGGGGGATTCTCCATTTTCATCCAGAGCAGGAATGCAAGGCCTGGGAGTGGGGAGTGCTGGGAGTTGGGATGGGGTCTCTGCTGCCCGGGCCCATCGTGTCCTGTCAGGAAAGGAGGGCTTTGGATGGATCCCCCAACCTCTCAATCCCGTGTTAAAATTGGAGGTGGGGTCCCCATCTTATCCCATGGAATGGTTTGGGTTGGAAGGAACCTTCAATCCCATCCCATTCCAGCCCTGCCATTGGGAATGTCACTGCCCCAGCCCCGGTGTCCAGCCTGGCCTTGGGCACTGCCAGGGGTCCAGGGCAGCCACAGCTGCTCTGGGAATCTCCCACCCTGCCAGCCAGGAATTCCTTCCCAACATCCCAGGTAAATCCCACCTCCACGTGCAGGTGAGGCTCCCTGGTCTGCAGTTCCCGGGGTTTTCCCTTCTTCCCCTTCTGAAAGCAGGAATGATGTTTTCCATCTTCATGGCTACTGGAAAACTGCTTTGTAGATTTCATTTTGCAAGGAACTTGAGGTTCCTACAGACACCCTGCAAGAGGCCACATCCAGGATTTCATTTTCTCTTGGATAAATCCATCTGGAAGCAGCCGAGCGTGGGCGGGATGAGACAACTCCAGCTTAGTCCAACATTTGACCGAGGCAGTTCAATAATTTCATTCTTAAAAATCTGGGAATCCGTTCCTTGGGATTTGGGGAGGCTGTGGGAGTCACCGAGGAGCTTCTGTTCAGCTGGAGCAGCCAGGAGTGGGAATCCCAAGCAGAGATTCCAGCTGGGATGGATGGAAATCTCCAGCTGGTGTTTCCACACTAACGAGCTCCCCGGGGAGGGCAGGCCGAGCAGAGGGAGCCAGCTCGGCTCTTCCCCTCCATTGGCATTCCAGGAGTGCCGAGCTGCAAATCCTGGGGCTGATCTCCATGAATGATTCATCTGCTGTTTGTGGCGGCCGTGGGTTTAGTCAGGAATTCAGATTTTAGTGCCAGACCCCGTGTCAGGCCCAGTTTTAGTCAAAAGCCTTGAACAGCTGAGCACTTGGGCTTGGTTTGGTGCTGTGGCACAACACCACAGCACGTCCTCCTGGTGGAGCGTGAGGAGCTTAGGCCTGGCCTGAGCACACCCAGGACTGGCTTAACCCCTCTGCTTTGACAGGGGACAGATGTGGCCTGGGAGGGGCTCAGGAGGAGCTGCAGCTGTGCCCTGGAGAGCAGGGCTGGGATGTGACCGGGAGCTGGGAATGTTGAGGAGCATCGTGGGCGGGCTGGAGCACCCTGTTCCAGATGGAGCACCTTGTTCCAGAGGGACCATCCTGCTCCAGAGGAACCATCCTGCCTGCTCCAGATGAGCCATCCTGATCCACAGGGACCATCCTGCTCCAGAGGGACCATCCTGCTCCAGAGGGACCATCCTGCTCCAGATGAGCCATCCTGCTCCACAGGGACCATCCTGCTCCACAGGGACCATCCTGCTCCAACTGGATCATCCTGCTCCACAGGGACCATCCTGCTCCAGAGGGACCATCCTGATCCAGAGGGACCATCCTGCTCCATAAGGACCATCCTGCTCCAGAGGGACCATCCTGCTCCAGAGGGACCATCCTGCTCCATAGGGACGATCCTGCTCCAGAGGGACCATCCTGATCCACAGGGACCATCCTGCTCCACAGGGACCATCCTGCCCCAGACGAGCCATCCTGCTGTGTCCTTCCCGCTCTCCTGAGGAGCAGGAGCAGCTCCTCTCCCTTTCCATCTGCTGGCCCAAGGCCACCCATCGGATCCTGGCCACAGGATCAGCTCCTGGGAGCGCCGGGAAGGACAAGCCTGGCTCCTGGGAAGGGCAGGAGGGTTTTCCTGCAGGGAGAGCGAGGGAGAGGGGCTGGAGCTCAGGAGACCAAATAATTCCATGGACAGCTGGAGTTTGGAGGTGTGAGGAGCACCCAGGGCCCCCTGTCTGAGCCTTCAGAGTCTCCTGGCCCAAGAAAAATCAGCAATTGTTACTGTTTTGGATCATTATTTCTTTTCCTTTCGTTGGAAGGACACTGCCAAAGCAGAAATCTTTGCACAAGTTTAGACTCAGAGCACGGACAGTGTACCATGAAATGCTTGAAATCCTTGGAATTCCCCACAGAAAATGGATTTTTGGCCATGTTAGGGAAAAACCCCTGAAGGAATTTGCGCCTGAAGAGCATCATAAACCCCAGTGAAGCCACCTGGATGCAGATTTGGGGTTGGAATTGTGCATAATAAAATTCCCATCGAGGAGCTGATGGAACGAGCTGTTTGGAGTTTGTGCTGGCAGCTGAGTTTATTTGTATAAAATATAAACCAGAAAATAGAATCTATAAGTATATAAAACAGAATCTATGAAATAGAATCTATTCTGTATGTATATATATATATATAAATAGAATAGAAATATTAAATATTTCTATTATAATATTAGAATATTATCATAATATTTCTAATATAATATAAATATTAAATATATATTATATATAATATATACTTCTATATTTATATATTTTATATTTAATAAATGAAATTAAATTAAAATCTACTATATATATATAAAATGTATATATAATATAGCTATATTTTATATTTAATAAATGAAATTAAATTAAAATCTTATATATATATAATGTATATATAATATAGTATGGAATATAGAATGTCGATATAAGAAATAGAAGTTACCAATGAAAATACATAAAATAAAGTACAGAAAACAGGCTGTACAAGGTGGAATCTCGCTTGCCGTGTTTCTGCGTGCTGCACACACCCAGCCCGCCATTCCCTGTCGGAGCCAGCCTCGCTGACTCCCGTCGGTCGCTCCTTGCAGCGAGCAGAGCGCCCGTAAATCCAAGTTCCCCATTCCCACGGCCCGCCGGGATGCCAGCGGGTCCATCCCTGGCTGGAGCCGTGCCAGAAGTTTCTCCTCTCGCTGCCTGTGGGCTGCTCGCTCCCGCTCTGGCTCTTCCCATTTTTCCTTTCCCCCCCCTCTCTCTGAGGTTTTTCTGTGCCTTTGGGTGAGCTCAACTCCGAGGTTCGCAGCTTCCCTGCGCGCTGCTGCTCCACGGGAGGAGCCGCGTTCCTGCCTCCTTTTCCTGGGAAACTTCAGCATGCGGCTGGTAAGGGGCTGCATTCCCAAAGGAAGGGCTCGGGATGGAGCCGCTCCCCCGGGAATCGTCGGGGAGGGGGTGCGGGGTGCCCAGGGCCATGGATGTGACACCGCCAGGGATGCGCAGCACATTCCCTTCGGGAATCCGGGAGCCGGCGGCACTTTTGCCTCGGGAGAAGGAGGCTGGAGCGATGGCGAGGCGATTCCTGACGCGCTGTAAGTTTATTGAGGGGATTTAAGGCTGGGCTCTGTGCTCGGGAAGGAGGGAATCATCTCCGGGTGACAACAATTCCAAGCAGCGCTTGGAAAAGATGCCCGAGGATTCTCGGGGATTCTCCGGGCTCTGCCGAGCCGTGCCCGGGTGCTGTGGCAGAATTTCCCTGCGTTTCGCAGCCTTTTTTCTTTTGGCTGTGCGATTACTGGGGGAAAAAAGGTGGCTGTGCTTCCCGGGGGGAGCAGCCGCGGCTCTGAGCCTCGGCATTCCGCGGGGATCCAGCTCCAAGCCCTGGAAGAGCCGGCGGATCGATGCAGGGCTCCTGGAGCCGAGAGTTCAGCTGTTTGTCAACACGGAAAAGCTGCTCGGGGCTGGATCCCGATGAAGTCATCCCGGGAATGCTGCGGGACCAACCCGGCTCTGGCGCTGGATAATCCCTCGGTGCCGGTTGATTGTGGGGTTTTGCAGGAGTAGTTGTAGCAGGGATGGCTGGCTTGGGCATCCAGGATCTTCCCAGCACGTTGGAACAGAGATTCCATCAGGAATCTCTTCCACAGGCTGGTTCCTTCCATCCCAAACTCCATCCCCTCTGTGCTGGGCACAGACAGCCCACGAGGCTTCTCCAAACCTCATTCCCAGGGCTCAGACATCCCACGAAGCTTTCCCAAACCTCCTTCCCAGGCTATCCATTGGGATGTGATGGATGGGAGTGATATAAACCCCAGAGGGTGGAAATAAAGCAGGGAGAGGCACTGGGAGGCAAGGCAGGGAGCTGGGGATGGTTCCTCAGGAATTCCAAGGGCAGGGAGCCAGCCCTCAGGTGAGGATCCATCCTGCACATCCCATTCCTCACAGAGGAGGCTGAACATCTTGGGATTGATGGATCCTCCACGGCTCCGAGCTCCAGAGTGGGTGGCTGGAAATCAGCAAATACTGAATTCTCATTTCTCCCGTGCTGGAATTAATCCGAGCTTCTCTGTTTTCCCAGACAACTTGTCAGACACTGGAAACTCATTTGTTAAATTGCACAGGGAAAAAAAGACAGCATTAGGAATATCTCACTTACCTGGAGCTGAATTTATTTGGATTCCCTTTGCTGGTTCAAGTTTTTCAGCTTCCCAAAAGGCTGGAGAAGCTCTAGAGGAGTCTTATAAATAAAATAAACCCATAAGAGCTTCCCTGAGCTGTAGGTGTTGGATTTACTTCATGTTCCCAGTGCAGCACTAACCTCTGGAATTGTGTCCAATACTTTAGTTCCCTGCTTTCCCTGAGTATTCCAAGGCACAGACAGAATTGGAGTCCTTTCCCTGCTTTAAGTCTCTTAAAACTCAGATTTGCTGTCACGAGGCTCCTGCAGGTCCCTGCTCTGGCAGTTTGGGGGTTCCTGGAATCCCAATAAAACCAGGGAGACTCTTTGTGTGCCCAAGGGCTAAAGCCTGGCTTTGTGTACAAAAGCTTGTACAGACCTGAAATACAGGGAAGAGATCAAATGCCAGGGAATGTTTGTACTTCCAGCAATTTCCCTGGATGCCAAGGAAAACACAGGAATAAATGACAAACTGGTTGGGGTGAACTCTCTGGAGGGGAAATTTTCCTGTTTCAGGGGCCCTGTGGCTCTCAGTGCCCTGACTGCAGCTGGGAAAACACAGCACAGCCAATATTCCGTATTTTCTACAGCTGGAAAACCTGAGTGCAGCATCCTGGCTTCAGGTGGGCAGGAGGGGTGAGGCACCTGCAGGTGTTGTCCCAGGTTTCTGTGCTGTCCCCTGGGAACCCGGGCTGGGACCTGAGCTCCAACTCACTCCTCTACAGCAGGCTGGATGAGTAACTGCAGGGTGTAAACGCAGAGAGAGTGAAATGCCCAGAGAAAACATGGAAATGTCTCCTGAAACACAGACCCTAATCCAGGGTTTAGCTGGAGGTTGGGCAGCTCTGCTCATCCCAGGTTTTAAGCAGGACCTTGCTGTGGGGACATTCCCGTTTAGCAAGGGCAGAGCCTTTGGAGGGTCTAAAGAGTGGTTTTGGGGAAAACAGAGCTGGGAAAATATCCGTGAGGAAAAGGAATTCTCAGCTCTCCTCTTTCTCTGAGACCTGGAGGTTGAACTGGGAGAATCCCTCATCTAAAGGCATGTCAAGGGAGTGGAAACAGGAAAACTGTGGGAAAATGGGAGTTGGGGAACCCATGTGACACTGAATGGGCCAGTGAACCCCCGGGTGATCCAGGCTGAGCTGGTGGGAACAAGGTAGAGAGAGCTCCCATCCCTTGGGAACGATGATTTCCAGGCACTTCTGTTGGATTTAGGAATACCTTTGAGGCTTTCCCAGCTTCAATAATTCCGTGATTCCTGCTGAAGGAAGCTGGATCTGCTCTCCCAGCTGCAGGAATGCTGCCATTACTTTTGTGTGTAAATCCAATTACATCCTCCAGTGTTTTTTTGCATTTCCCTAGTTCATGATTAATTTATTTGCCCTCAATTTTACCAAAATTTAGCATTTTCTGTCAGGTTTCACTGACTCCTGGTGTCACCTGCAACTCTTCCCCCTTGCTGCTCCTCTGCTTTTCCCACATAAATAATAAAAGGGATTTTTGGGAGCTCTGGGAGCTCTTTACAAGCTGTGCAAGTTGGGCTCATTTAATTCCTGAAGGCTGCACATCCACATCCTGATATCCAGGCAGGGAATTCATTTACATGCCATGGATGGCTCAGCCACCTCTCAACCGCTGGCATTTCGTCCCTGCTTTGGAATATTATTTACATTTATTAAAAAGCAGTTGGAGAATGTTCAACTTGGTGCCTTTTAAAACAATGTGGAGCGGCTGCTCTCAGAAAGACACAGAGAGGGTCCTTAATTCATTAATTTCCTGTTAATCCTTTAAATTCCTTCCATTATCAAGTATTTAGAGTGGTTTTTACGTGCTAATAATTGAAGGAGAAGTGTGGAGCATTCCATTCTCCAGGTACCTGAAATTCAGGGTGATTTTAGCTCATCTCCTGTCTTGTTTTCCCTCTCCACAAAACATCCCAAGCTTTTATCCCATCCCTTTCCTTCTGTCCCTGAGGAATCCAACGAGGCCAGCAGTGCCTGAAGGGAATTTTCCATGCAGTGACGTGGTCGTGTGGTCATTGATTGGAATCCTGATGGAAAATGTCCTCTTGCAAAAAGGACATTCTTGCCAAAGGGATCTGGGAATGCTGCTGGGGTTTAGGCTCGGCCTAAATGGGGGAGGTGTCTGTGTAAGCTCCTCTCAGGATTGTTTTAGGCCAGCATTCCAGCAGCTGATTTGGGGCAAACTCCTCATCCCAAAGTTCTGCTGGAAATGGGATTTGCCCACACCTGGAAATAAAGACCCAAATTGGGTGTAATTAAAATTAAACCAGTGTTCAAAGTGCAATATACCCCAGGCAAAACAAGCCTGAACTGTCCATTTACAAGCACAGTTGCTGATGGGAAATGATCCTTATAATTCAGTGTGGGCACAAAGCACCACTGATTTTAAAGTGATTGTGACTTTGGGCAAACTCATCTTGCATGGAAAAAGGGAAGAGAGGGAATCCCTCCCTTAGTCCAGGGAACAGCAGCACGTGGATGCCACTGGAGCAGGGAATTTCATGGGTGTTGTGCAAATGAAAAGCTCCTTTCTCCTCGGTGTAGGATTTGAAGGAAGGATCCTGAGCGTTGTAATTAAAAGTGGAGCAGGGGCCCGAGGCTGATGGATGTGATCCTCACCGAGGAGCCTCCGGGGTTTTTCCCTGGCAGAAAGTTGATGGGAATTCACCATCAGGACAGGGCAAACACATCCACACCGGGCTGGGGGAAGGAATTGCACTGGGAGCAGCCTGGGAATATTCCAAGGCAAATTTTAATTGAAATTTTAATTTTAATATGGCCTTGAGTGTGTGGAATTTCATGGTCACTCCATGAGGGGATGGAGGCGTTCCCTGCCTGGGGATGAAGTGGCCTCAGCCTTGTGGGGCCTGTCACAACCCCACAAATAATGGAATTAAGGAATGAAGGAATTTAGCTGACATTTGTACATTTGCAAACACAAATTCTGACAGTGGAAATGGGCTCAGGGAGCCCAAACTCAGGACTCAGGGAGTGGCAGAATTAATGCTCCTCTAATGGGGAGAGAAGGCACAAGCACACAGTGCAGAAATGAAAATGCATTAATTGAGACATGAGGCACAGAAATGTTTGGAGACATTGGCTTGCTCGGGGTGCTAACAGACCAAAGCAGCACTTTTTTGGTTTGTTGCTGTTTTCAGCATCCCAGATGGCTGCAGACTGTGGGGTTTGTGCCCACTGTGTCTGTCCCGGTGCCAAATGGCCACAGGAATGTTCAGTCCTGGCCAGCCTCAGAGCAGTGCACGTGCCAAGGCTGGGAAAGGCTCCACTGAGCACAATGATGGGAGCAAGGCAGCTCTGGGCAATGTGTGTTTTACTGGGATTGTTTTGGGATTCAGGCTTCTGTTGTAGGGCTCTCTGGAAGAGGAATCCCTTTGTGTTCCATGTTTGCCAGCACGTTTCTGCTCCGAGTGCTTCCATCTCTCAGCTGTTCCTGGGTGTATTTTGGGACAGAAATTTGTGTTTGGTGTAAACTGGAGCCTCTGGAAGGTGAATAATTCATTTTTGTTGGGAGAGGTTGCATCCCACGTGACCCCTCACGTTTGGGATCAGTGTGTGTGCTGTGAATCCCAAAGAGGTGGTTCCAGCTCTCAGCCCGGCTTCTGGGGACTGGAAAGTCAGGAAAGAGATTCGCTGACCATGGATTTCCTGGAACACCCCCAAAGTTG